TGCTCTTTGGCCTGCACTAGACTGCCTTATGTTACTTGGCTGTGAACCAGGGAGGCTGGAATTCAGGAGAAAAAATTGAGTAATTAAGGATAGAGATGCTAAGTTAGTTCATGGTAATGGTTGTGATCATTAATGGAGAGGGTATAGGAAGACATGTGAAGACTGAACCTTGGAGAGCACCCATGCTTTAGTGGTAGTTGATTGTTGATGATTCTTCAAAGGAGAACAAAGAGTAGTTAGACATAGAAGAAACTTGAAAAGAGCAGTGTCATGGAAGACAAAGAAGAAAAGTTTTCAACAAAAGCAGGTAAACATAATACAAGGTGCTAACAATGTTGAGTGGAAAGAAAATAGAGTCAGTGAGTATAATTCTAAAAGATCAGCAGTGAGAGGGAGAATATCTACAGTACAGTAGCTTGAGTGGATGAAAGAGTCAAAAGAAGTATGTATTTATGGATGGGGGGGATGAGAGCATTGTTGTATTCAGGGAGGAAAGACAAAATAGATAGGGAGAGACTGAGTATCAGAGAGCAGAAAGTGTCTATGGGCTAAGCTCCAGGTAGAACTTTGAGGAGTTGGATCTAAGGCATAAATAGAGGTGTTAGCCCTGGAAGGGAGAAGGGCCACTTTTTCCCAGGGACTATAGAAATAAGGAAACTGGGGACAGGAATAGATATAGGAGGGTTTTAATGTATGCAGAAGAGGGCTTCAGTTTTCTCAGTAAAGTAGGAGGCAAGGCCATCTGCTGTGAGAGAAGTGGCAGGATAGTAGAGGGGGCTTGGGAAAGAATAAGCCCCACTCAGAATTTGGGCAGTGAGTTCAGGAAAACTTTGAATTTTCAATGGAAGCTGAAATGAATGAAAATTATTACCACAATGTCAAGACGTTTATCATGAAAATTCTAGGGAGCTTAGGAGATTTGGGACATCAGATGTATATTTAGGGTGAAAGAAATATTATTTATTCTGGGAAAGCCCCAATTATCAGGAACTGATTTTTACAAGCAGCTATCCATATCTTCCATCTTTCTTTCATCACTCTTGACCGAAAGCTCAAGATTTATACTTCAGGTAGGAATTGGACTGGCACCTAGAGTACCTTCCACCTCTTAGATTCTATGAACCTACTTTCCCTTTTCCGTAAGAGCTCTTCTCTAAACTTCTCCTGCTCAGTCTTTTATAGCTAAGGTTGATTTCCCAGCATGCACATATGCACAGTCAGCTCTTCTTAGCTCTACGCATCACAGCATGAGCTAATACAGTTTCTTTCTGTGTTGCATGTGAACCAAAGATCAGTTAGAAATGAATTAAAATCTTTTCCTAAAATAGGATCAATTGAATTGATATTGCTTACAGAGAGGGAATGTGATATCTTCAAATGTGCACTGGATTTGGAGCAAGGGGACTTGGATTTAGGGTATAAGATTGGCTACTTGCTAGCTGTGTGACCTTAAGTAAATCAGTTAATCTATTTCAGTTTTTCCATTTGCAAATAGAAATTATGAATTTGTTTTAACTACCACAGAGTGGTTGTGTTGAAAAGTGCTAAATAAACTTAAAAATTGTATAGAAAACAAACTATTATTTCAAATACTGTCATTGTGATTTTTAAGTAAATAATTTCAAATTTCATATCCTTTTTGTATCCCCATGTAGTTTATTGCTACATCTGGCTTTCAGACTCAGAATTTCTCCCAGTATCCCTCTCTCCTCCTCCTTCCCAAAGAGCCATCATTCCACTTAACAAATAGTACTTTAAAAGAAAAAAAAGGGAAAAAAAGAAAGAGAAAAATCAGCAAAATTGATCAATATGTCAAAATAATCCCAAAATATATACAATGCTCCTCACCAAGAGACTTCCTGTATCTGCAAAGTATGTGAGATCCTGTGGTAAGCACTGGAAATATAAAAAGAGGCAAAAGAGAGTCCTTGCCCACAAGGAATTTAGAATCTAATGGATTTAGAACTGGAAGAGATCTGGGAGATCATCTAGTCCAACACTCTCTCTCTCTCTCTCTCTCTCTCTCTCTCTCTCTCTCTCTCTCTCTTAATAGATGAGGAAACTGAAGCTAAAAGAGTAAATGTTTTGCCCAAGGTCATGCCGCTAATAAGTAAAAAAAAATAAGAAGACGTCAGCAGGATTTGAAACCTAGCCCACTAATTTGTTCATCCAGCACTCTTTTTACTTTAACATACTGCTCCCCTCACTTTCGAGTTCTAGTCTTTTCTCTAATAAAAACTTGGTTACATATTAAGCTTTCTGTGAATTTCTTTCATGGATTTGTATATTGTTAGAGATGTATGGGACCCTAGAATTCATGTCATTTGATTTTTATTTTACATATAGCAAAAACAAGGCTGTGGGTGGTAGTGATGTCAATTGATTTGCTCAAGCCTGTAATCCTTGAGTATTTAATCACAACCTAAACCTTAACTCCTTGACCAAGTTCCACATTTTTCTCTAAACAAACAGAAGAGGCATTTCTCTTTGGGAGAAATGAAGATAGCTTGTCTACTCCTATAGCATTCAGATAAAATATCTAAAAATAATTAAAATATCTACACCCAAAACTTAACCTTGTCAAGCCCGCACAATGATAATCCATTCATCCCAGGGCAAAAAATAAAAATTACCTAAGAGTTAAACCTGAGATATTCCTTGGGAGGAGAAATGGGGAAGCATGTTTTGAAAATTAAGATAGAGAGATGGGGGACTACTTTCTCTAGGTGCAGGGACAGGCCCTGGGGAAGGAAGGTATCAAGTATAATATTCAGGCTGTGTCACCATGGTAACAGCCTACCTTGGGGGTTGCACTTGGGATGTATATATTCAATTTTTAACTCCCTCCTACCTAGTCCCACTTTTAAGAGTTCATGCCTAGATCTTCTCATTAACAATTCCAACATGAAGGATTAGTAATGGCAGGGCCTTCCTCCTATTGTCCAAGAAGTTTCAACAATAAGTATTTGTCTTAGGCCCTTACATGCTTGGCAGAAAGGGAAATACACTAAATCTATTTTATGAATTCTTCTGGGATCCTTGGTGAAAGGAAACCTACAGTACTTCGTAAATGTCAGTTCTCTTTACAGAAATGCGAAGGAGGCATTCCATGCTGTCATTCTTTTTTCATGCTGCCTGCTGGCCCTTATTTGGAAGCAACAATTCCAAAAGATCTAGTGGTCACTAAAATAAATGGAAATCACAGGCACAAATCAAAATGTTAGAAAACACACAGCAGAACTGCATCTACTTCATTTACAATATGCAGTTCATTTTTTAAAGAGGTAGGGATTTAGTGGGTTGGAGAGACACTGAAGGAAGGACATTTCCAGCTGGCAGGAGCTAAAGAGAGTGCTTTTAAACCAACTGTAGCAAGATGGTGTAAAAACTTAAAAGGGATAAGAACTCAGAGATGACAGAAAAGGGGAGAAGAGACAAAGGCTTCAGAATACAGAGGAGCAAGTCTATGAGAAGCATTAAAATAATGAAGCAGATTGGCATTGAATACTGTCTTGTGTATGTAGGTACAATGGAGCTGAGGATGGCAGTGATATGAGTGTAATCAAATGAGTTACTAGATGTGAAGTGCTTTGATGTCAGCTAATATCAGATATTCCTATTCTTTCAAGAGTTTTTACTGATTACAAAGAGTGGTAGTTATTACTTTTGAAATAGTAGAGTCTATCACCACCAGCTGCCATAGGGACCCAGCCTGAGTGGAGGCTTCTCTAAATCCCGGGAAGGAATTTCTGGTGGTTGCAGGAAATATATACCAGCTGGGCAGTGACAGAAGGAGACAATGGGAGGTGGGAAATCAGTGGTTTATCAATAAGTTTTTTAAAAAAAGAAAAGTAAAGCCTGAACCTCCCAAAAGTTCCACCTTTAAATCTCATCACCATAACTTGCATATTCATTTTTTTTTGTCTTTTAAATGAGGTATTATACAGAAGTAATAACAAAAGAAAGTAAATCTCCTTAAAATACCAGGTTAGTACAAATCATGATCTTTCTTGCCCTAACTGGAGGGCTCATTTCTGCTACTGTTTAGAAGACAATTATAATCATTGATGCTTATATAGAACTTTAATATTTGTAAAGAACTGAATGTACATTTTCTCATTCAAGTCTTATAACAATCATGTAGTACCAGTAAGCCCTACATGCTCTGTCCTTACTACATAGGAAAGAACTGAAACTCAGAAATGTTAAGTGACTTTCCCATGGCAAGGTAGCTAATAATAAATTACAGAATTGGGATTTGAATGCAGGTTTTCCTAGCTCTGGGTCCGGGTCTATTATGTTGTACTGCCTATGGAATGTATCAAGAAGGGAGATGTTGACAAACTTGGGGTGTTTTATACATATACTCACAGTATTAAAATTGTAACTCATTCTGATCTCCCTGACCATCATCACTCCTTATAGTTAGTATTGTAAGTAAGTTTATAAGTAATTAGTACAAAGTATCAATAGTAGTGCCTAATATTGTAAAAGAGAACCTGAAAGTCGCTTTACAGACTGTCCCATAAATTAAGAGAAGAGTTACTTGCAACCTGTCTCATAAATTAAGGGAGCATAGGAGCCAGTGGAAACTGTTGCATAAATTAACTAAGGCCACATCCTGAGGCTATGTGCTAAAATAGGGGAAGCCAGCTAGGCCTTACTGTTGGGCCCTGTGGTTTGTAAGCTCCTGAGTACTCAGTAAAACCAGAACACTAGCAAATGGTATATTAATGAGCTAACCCTAAGATATTGCTGATAACTTTGAGATTATGTGGATATATTAATGAACTAATCCCAATATGACCCAGATCAGAGTTAATCTGTCCCTCCTCCCTCCAAATAAACTTTAAAAATGAGACCTCAAACACTTGCATTTCTTTACCTCTCCCCTCCCCCACCTCATGTTGTTAGGGTCCGTGCTGCCCTAGTGTTTTCATCTTTGTTCCATGGTTACCTTAGTGACTCTTGTACTTCTCCTCCTTGCCATTCTCTTCTCCATATTCCCTGCCTCCCTCCATCTCTCTTTCCTCCAACCCCATTCCATCTGCCTTTGTACCCCAGTACTGTTTGTCTCTGTACTCTATGTGCCTTACTAAAGTGCAATTGAAGCATTACTCTCTGCTTGCTGCTATCATGGTCTTTCACAGTGAGTATTCAAAAACTGTGTGGGCTTGCCATTGCCTCACTGAACCCAAAACCCTTGTTGTCCCATTTCTTTAGTCACAATTTATAATTCTGTAAATTAATTGTCAATTTACCCACTGCCACATAAGAGTTGGATGGTCTGCTTCATGGTGGGGAAGATGTTACTTACTGCCATAGCTTCTGGGAAGAGGAAGAGAGGAAAGTATGCTTCTTGTCTCTTCTTATATTGTTAGACCAGCATTGGGTCACAATTGGGAATTGAGGATAAAGAATTGGGGATAAAAAGAGGATTATGGGAAGATGGTGGAGTAGGTCAGAAAATTTCAAGCTCTCAGATTTTCCTCCACAAAAGAGATGAAATAGCACTTCAGGGCAGATAGAGAACATAAATGAGTAGAATATAGAAAATATATGAGTAGAGGCAGAAAGGGGTCCACCTAAGACAACAAGAGAAGATTGAAGAAGAATCCCTGGACAAGGTTTCCTCCCAGTGAAGAGTAAACACCTCCAGGCTAGGGACCTCTTTAATAACAAGCAGTAAGCCCTGCGGGTAGCTGGATTTGGAAGCTGCCTCTACCACAGCCACTGGAACTTCTATCCCTACAATAAGGGGAGTTGGGCATCTAAGCTGGGGAAGATCTAGGGAACCTCTGCTGACAAAGAACACCAGACCCGGCTATGAGGCAGAGACAAGGTTGGGGTAAAAAGGAACCAGCACCTCTTAGTGAGTGCAGAAGCAGTGGTACAGGTAGCTGCTGGCTGTGGGAATTTACAGGAGACTGGAGGTCTTGGTTTGAGGTCAAGGTCAGAGGGGAAAACTGAAAAGGACCATCCCTCATACCATAGGACTACAGGTGATTATAAAAACTAAACTATTTTTAAAAAATTCACAAAGAAGAAAGAATCCAGCCATAGAGAACTTTTATGGGAATAGAGAAAACTTCATCTTCAAAGGAGGATACTGAAGCAAAGAAACACTTTTCTACCCCAAAGAGTAATGTTGTTGAAATTAGGGGTTCTGGGAACCTTCAAATTCAAGGGCAAAAGGCACAGGTCCTGCCTTGAAAGAATTCGACTCAAGCTTTCTTTCAATCAGAGACAAGGTTTATTGTTTCACCTGTTGAAGTGGGCTAGATTCTTAAGGAATCTGAGGACCTAATGGGGGAAGAGGGATACTTATGAGTAGGTCTAGATGGAATCAAGGAGTGGCGTTCTAGGGTGGGCCATGTAAAGACAATGAGCATCACAAAGAGCAGTTAAAAGGATTCTTCAGAAATGCCTTAGCCAAACCATTCATGGTAAAGTTCAAATGGGGAGGGGTCCAAAGCCCATACCCTGTCAATGTCAAGTGGTCACCTGCCCAAAAAGAATTCATTGAAGAACTTGAAAAAGACGTTAAAAATCAAATGAGAGAGATTGAGGAAAAACTAAAAACAAAACAAGAATAATGCAAGAAAAACAAGAAGATTTTGAAGAGAAAGTAAACCAATTAGAAAAGGAGATCCAGAATCTTAAGGAAGAAAACAAATTCTTGAAAATCAGAATTGGGCAAGGGGAAGCCAGCAATGTTATAAGAGATGAAGAAATAAAAAGACAAAATATAAAGAATGAGAAAACAGAAGTTAGAATGTGAAACATCTCTCACACACACACAAAAACTGATCTGGAGAATAGAAAACATAAGAAGAGAAAACATAAGAATAGTTGGACCACCTGAAAGCTATGATGGAGGGATGGGACACAAGGCAAACATGCATGGCTGCACTGGAACTGAAGGAAAACATAATTTAATTCAGATTGAGTTAGTTGTAACCTCACAGAGGCTACTTGGGACAGAGACTTAGGCCAATGTAAAGTAAATCTCCCACATGGAAGAAGGCTGAGTTAGCCCTGAAGTTTGATTTTGGACTTAAACCTGCATTCAAAGGGGAAGGTTTCGGAAAGTGAATGGCAAGGAAATATAAGATAGGGAGCATTCCCCCCCCAAAAAAAAAAAAGATAACCAGATGAAAGAAATTCAATTAAAAAATTAAAACAAAGTCAAATTTATAGAGAAAATGTAGTAATTAGGAGGGAAAAAAATGACTACCAGAATATTGAAAATGTCATATACTTCTCTAAATAAACATTATAAGACAAAGCATATTTAATCAACATCTGATGAAACCCAGAATCCTGTGGATTCAGAGGAGAGAATGGAACTGTAGCAAGATAATTAAAAATGGTTCAAGAATGATGTTCAAGTAGTGAGATAAAAAAAGTTAGATAGGAACAAATGGCAGAATGTATGCCCTGCATGAAAGAAATACTTACCAATGCAGAAAAAATTGAATCCACATTGGTGGGTCTCTCCAAAAAAGTAAAAGAGAGGATTATAACTTAGGGATAAAAATATAATGAGGTAAAAGACATTCAAGAAGAAGAGAAGCAAAAAGCAATAATGTTAAGAGACATACAAAATACAAAAGAAAAAGTCATTGATCCTTTAGAAAGGATGAGTATAAATAACAGAAGGATCATAAGCCTTCCAGAAGAACATATAAAGTAAAAATAAATAATAAACCTGAACACCATAATGTGAGAAAAATATGAAAAACCCCAAACTGCCCAGAAGCTCTGAATACACACACACACACACACACACACACACACACACACACACACACACACACCCATACACACACCCTCCTCTCCACTGATTTAAAGAATCCATGGATCATATCCAGAAAAAAAATGTGGGAGGTGTTTAAGTGACAGAATATGACACCAATATGACAGAAGTCTCAAGAATAGGCAGACCTACTAACAGAGTCATAATTCATATGAAACCATTAGGATTTTGCCCCAGAGTGGGAAATTTAGAGAGTATCTACAACAATGACCTGTAATGCACTTTCTCCATTGCTTACTTGTCCTCCCTACTGCCCCACCCCCCCACTCCCTGCAGTGGTTGTCCTTCCATTCACTTTAAAAGACTGAAAACCATATGGGGTCCTGGGGTACATTTTCTCTCCTCTCAGCTATGTTATAACTGATCTACCCCTTCTTAGTGGAAGTCAGTCCTTTGTCAGTATAATGACTATGAGGTATTACAAAGTAGGCTTTCTCCCCCTGATCTATGGGACTTATCTCTCTGGTGACCATCCCTCTTCTTCAATCCCTTGCCTCAGGTACAAAATTGTATAGTTATTCCTCTGCCTGTTCCCTATAGGCAAATTTGAGCACAGATTTATCATAAGTAAACTCTGAATTCGTTAGGAAATAATATAAAACCTAGGCCTTTTCAAGTAAGTTCAAAAGATGCTATATTACAGACAATCTTACTAACACTGACCACTTGAGGGCCATAACTCTCTTGATGATTTATGCCTCAATGTCCCACTATCTAAACCACAAATAATAGTGTTTGACCTTTAATTTCATATATGCTAGGAGGATAAAAGATAACAGTTATTTGTTACCTGTATGACTATGAGAGTCATTTCGCTGCTGTAGGCGTCAGTTTCCTCATATGTAAAATAAGGAGTCTGGATTTGCTGATCTCTAAGGTCTCTTCTAGTTCTGAATCCTATGAAGCTATGCAGAATGCTTTGAACTCCTTAGAAGAAATTACAGGATCATCTTTTAACAAGATGAATGTGCATTTGTTGTTGTTGTTGTTGCTGTTGTTGTTATATAGAAGAGTGTTGTCTTTACTCTCTACAATAGTTTCTCAATTGCTGGACTGTTCCCATGTATGTGACATATTGGCCAGTGTCTAACAGGAAACATATCAATATTACCAATGACAATAAATACAGCCATTAGGACAAATCCAAGGCTTATCTTAATTGGCTAATAGATAATCAGGCTTATAGGGCTGCTGAATCCATTAGCATTAACTGGGGGAAAGGAAAGTTTTATCAATACTGACACTTGAATACAAGTGTAGCCACTGGAAAATATTAATTTACAATCACCACTAGCACCTTTTCATTAACAGAAACGTGTTACCCCTAATTAGTTGAAGCTCTAAGGCTCTGCCGTATCATACTGTGACACGCGCAGCAATTCTCCACTACCTCTGTAGTACAGAGTTTGCTGCCAAAGGTAACCTGCTGAATTGGGAATTTGTCATAGATGTGTATCAGCTCATTAGGGCACCCCTCCCCTGGAGAGTAGTAGAGATGTACTGGCAAATTCTTGCTCCTCAAATGGAATGGAGGCCATTTAATTTCCTCTTTACAATGAACGTTCTCTTCTGTGTGTAAGAAACATTGGCAACTTGAGAAATCTCTTTCTGAAGCAATTGTCATCTGAAGCTTCCTCTCTTTGGACAATCTCAAAGAAGTGGCTGGAAATAACTATATGAAGATTATCAGCATAATCACTAAAGCTATTCCTGGGGACATGCTGTAGGTCCTGTCCATTCATGTCACTTGGTCCATGGCTTAGGTCCAATGCCCTTCAAGGAGTGGTTGCATTACAGGAATCCTAAGAGGTCAGTAGTTTCTAATAAAGTTTGGTTGGAAGATACTTTTCTAAAATAGAGGAATCTAAGATCATAGGATCATAGGTTTAGAGATGAAAGGGATCTTAAAGGTCATTGAGTCCAGCCTCCTCATTTTACATATGAAGAAATGAGGCCTATGGAGATAAAATGACTTGCTCAGACTCACACAACCTGAGGTGAGATGCAAGCCTAGGCCTTCCTCACTCCAAATCAAGCACTCTATCCATTACACCAAGCTGCCTCTTAAGACTAGGCAGTAGCAGAATGGGAGAACCAGTCAATAGATTCAGCTTAAACTCTGTTCCAGCTAAAGAAGTCAAATGGATGAGGGAAGGTGGCATTTTCATTTCTGTCTTAGAGAACAAAGTGTCAGGAAAACCTTTGATGATTGGATGAGACTGAATCATTAGGACGTTACCTGTTCCAAGAAGGGACATTGTACATCATTCTTCATGTGAAGCAGAGAAGAAAAGATACAAGTGAAGGCAGTTAAAGAAACAAATTATGTG